GGGAGAGACCACGCCAACCGGGGGCCTGGATAGGGGAACCCTGCCATCTCGTTCAAACCCAAGCAGGGCTCTGGAAGAGTCTATGGAAATGGCTTGATGTCCACATCCCTGATGAAGCTATTCAGCCCTCGGGTCCCACGTGAGCAGGGATATTACTCCGTTCACTCAGTGGCCACATGGAAGGATTATTCCTTCAAGGCCTGCAGTGTTTTTATCAAGCAGAACTTCCTGGGTCCAAGCTGTGAACGTGTAAGATGTCTTAGCCCAGTGCTTCTCACACTTGTATATGTACGTGCATCATCGGGAGAGCTTGTTAAAACACAGACTCCGATTCAGTGGGTCTGGGCTGGGGCCTGAGACTCTGCATGTCTGATGTTGATCTGTTGGTTTGTGGAGATGAGGCCTCTGACATTACCCAACCCTGGGCACTATGTGTCACTTTGTTAGGAAACCAATCACAGAGGCGCACTGTGTATGTCCCACTAAAGTACAAATCCCCAAGGATCTGCAGGCCAGAGTCTAATTCACCCTAATGCCTCCTGTCATAGTGAAGGTGAGGCTGGCTTCGGTGCGCTCCAATGAGCACCATGAGCTCCCACTTCGGTGGGCAGGGAGAGAGGTCATAACTGCTGGAGAATTAGACCGTTTCACAGCCTCAAAGGGGCATTAGGGACAGGGCTAGACTCCTGTTCCTTAGGGAAGGGAGGTCCAGGGTCTCATGGTCCATGGCTCCAGGGAGTGCATCTAAATAAGAACTCCTGACTGAAAGAAAGGCATCAAAGACCAAGTTAGCAGCAGGAAAGAGGCAGATGTGACAAAGCTTTTGCATCTTCTACCTGGGTACAAGATCTTCCAGTAAAGAGCTGAGCCCTCATTGCAATATCATAGGTAATGGAAATGTCCTTGCCTCTGGCACATTTTCCAGATGTCTCCAAGATGCCTGTGTACCCACAGTCCATTAGCCACATAAAAGCCGAGCGATCTTTGAAAAAATATAAATCTGATTCTTTCATTCCTCTACTTAAAATTCTCCTAGGGCTTTCTATTTCTCTAAGGATAAAGCACAAACTCTAGAATCCCTGCACAACCTGACCCTGCCCACACACTTCCCCCACGGTCTCATCATCATCACCCATGCTCTGAAGCTTTAGTCACTCTGACCTTCTTCCTATTTGTTAAACATGCCAAAGTCATTCCTACCCCAGGGCCTTTGCATTAGCTGTTTTTCTTCAAGTGTCACCACTGCTTTGTGTTCAAAGACTCTGGCCACAGGCAAAGTTTCAATAGCAGAGCAACTCCAAAATGAGATATAAACCTTTAATTTTATGGGTTTGACATGGATTTATTTTTCTCTTGATTCTTACCCAGTTGAAGCCTGGAATAATCTGGCACCTTCATATTACAAAGAGGGGACTAAGCCCAGAGACAGAATGAGACATAATCAAAGCCACTCAGATTTGGCAGAACTGTCCAAGGATAGACCCAGACATTGTGACTTAGACTCATGGGGAAGGAAATTTAATTTTTTAAATTTACTTGAACCTACTGCACTGAATAATATGGACAATATTCACATAGTCATAACCCTTTCTTTACTACATCCACTGCCCCTTTTCTTGGCTTTTGACTTTGCCAAGTCCAAGATTATATATAGGAAGGTAGAGAGAATCCTAGATTTCTCTTCTATTTGTGTTATCCTATTTTTCTTTGTCACAAAATATACTGTTTGAGACCAGAAGAGGGTGATTTGTAATTTATGGGTTCTTCTCTAGAAATTACAACCAGAACCTGATTTTTAAAAATCAAATTGGTTTCATCTAATTAAATTTGGAAATTGCCTCATAAACACATAACTCTGTTATAAATGTCTTTAAAAGCAAGGTCTCCTGCTTATGATCTGAGGCAGGAATGGGTTGAGCCCAGCATGGAAGGGACCCCCCCATCTCTCTGCTTAGGCGGAGAGTCTCTTATCAGTTGCTGAAATTTTCTAAAGAGTGGTGTGGTCTAGAGCACTGCTTATCCAAGTTTCATGCCCATGTGAACCACCCAGGAATCTTGCTAACATGGAGACTCTGATTTAGGAGGTCTGGTGGGGCCTCAGATGCTGTGTTTCTAACCAGTTCCCAGGTAATGCCAATGCTGCCGGTCCATGGACCTCACCGAGTAAGGGGCAAGGCAACCACACTTGAATTCAGGACCCACAAATTTGCCACCTCAGCTCTATGACCTTGGTCTCCACACTTGACCTGAGTTTCAATTTCCTTATCTTCATGTACTGTGAGAGCTAACATTTACTGATGCTATTTCTAAATGCCAAATACAGCATTAAACAGGAGGCTACTTGATGTGCCCATGGTTACACAGCAAGCAAGTGGTAGAGCTATGGTTGAGAACTAGGCTGTTGGACTTCAAAAGCCGGCATTCTTACCTTCTGAGGCCCCACTAGCTTGTGAAGCTCATGGTCACAGCCACATTTATGCTCAAAATACAATGACCTCAGCCCACGACCTCCCTGGCTCCTTTCACAGCAACATCCAAGAAGCTTAGCATACTCCCAAAAGATGATCCCCCCCCCCTGAGCTCACAAACAAGTCACACGGCTACAGCCTTCCATCTCTGGCTCTCTGTAATCACAGCCCAGAGAGCAGCCAAAAATCTATCTGAAGGTGTCTTACCAGAGCTCTGTCCAGGACAGCCCATCCCAGAAATGCCAGCATCCCCCATGACTGGTCTTTGAAAACACACAAGGTTCGGGGCTCACACACAAGTGAAAAGAAGGGAACACTCCCCTAATCTGTGCCCACCTTGGTGCCCAGAGCTCCAGAGAGTGTGCCATACAACGAGCCCTCAACTTCAAGGAGCTGCTGCTCAAACAGGGCATGCCCCTCACAGCTGGGCTTGCTCCCTTGCTCTCTCTCCATCTATTCCTCTCTTCTCCTCATAGAATGGCACGAGTGGGTTTCCCAACCCAGCCCAGGGTACATCCCATTAGAGGAAGAAGTATACTGCTCCCAAGGCAGAAGTCGGTCTGTGCAGGGCTAGGACTCCACCTGCCACATGACCCAGCCCAGTGGTTTCCAAGTGCAGCTAGGCACAAGGACTAGGGCCTTTTCAGGACAAACTTGTCCTCAATTCAAGGCAAAAAGAGAGAAAATAAGGAGACTCATGAGTTATTCATAAAGCTAAATTTATTCAATTTGAAGGACTGCCTTTTATTCTTAAATTATGTCCTTTCTGTATTTTTGAAATGATGTCTTTTATGAAATGATGTTAATAAAAAATGGTAAAGAACTGTATGTCGGTCCTCCAAACCTTTTGAAATGTTACTGGCCTGTGAATTCCCAAAATCGCGAACATCTGGCATATAGAGCCATTTACGTAATAGTACCAAGCAACTTAACTCCCTAAGTTCTGGGTCCCTTCCCTCTGCTTTACAAAGAACAGGTTGCCACACACAGTAGATGTCTATTTCATATGTGTGTGTGTGTGTGTGTGTGTGTGTGTGTGTGTGTGTGTGATTGCAGCATCTGCTTCACAAAGAATGACAGGTAGCTTTGGAATGATGGGGCTTTGTTTCAGTTAAGGATCCAGTCCCTCTCTTCCCCAGTGACGTACTACTGAACATGTCCTGGACATGGTCAATATGGTCCCTCCCTCCTCTAGTGGGTTCCCCAGAAAGGAAGCTTCTCCAAACCACGTGTCCCAAGATGGAGCATTAGACAGCTCTTCTTTTGATAGATGTTGTGAGCTAAGGCATTTTATTCAGTACCTGGACATGATGGATGGTGTTCTCCTTTCTTGGAGAGCTCTGAGGTCCTTCCAGGTCTCTCTAGAGAGCTCTTGTGTCCATCAAATTCACCTAAATATTTCTCCCTCACCAATCCTCTTTAACTTTCCTCCCTTACGTGGGGATATTCTTCCCCAGCTCACTCTCAGTACACCTCAATACTTCTAAGGAACTTCCTGCGTGAGCCCTCAGTGTCTGCAGTACATTTCAGCCTGGGGATGCTTGGAACCTTTCCCACCTCAGACCCTCTAGAGGAACCCTCCTAAAGCAGCCATCTCCACTCCCATTTTGCAGGGGAGGAAGCAGGCCTGGAGAGAGGAAGAACTGTAGGAAGTCACATGAGACCGTAGAGGCACGGCCAGCACGATGGGCTCCATCCCTGCAGCTCTGGCTTCCACTCTTCCCTCTGCACCTCTGCACTGCTGAGCTCTCCACCGCAGCCCATGCACAGTCTCCGGGGGGCTCAGAATATGCGGGGTGGGAGGAGAGTCAACCTTGACTGTATCTCAGTACTAGAATTCAGCTCCATCCGCCTTATTGAAGTTTTATTGTTTGTGTTTGTTTTTCAATGGACTTCTACACACTTTGTTCTAGATTTGAAAGTTTTCAGGAAGCCACGTTGTGTTGGCTTGATGGGTGCCTTCCTGCTGGAAGAGGTTCTGCTCCACCTCTGACTTGATAAGGCCCTGCTACTGCTGGGAGGGGGCTTTCGGACACCATCACCCAAGCAGCAACAAAGTATGCTGTAGTCACAGAGCGATATTAAGGCTCAAGAATCATGCAGCCCCAGGGTAGAGAATGACACTGGGATTATTCCGGAAGCCCAGAAACCGACAGGTGTAGGATGAGCAACATGTGAGCACTGTGGTTTTCCAGACAAACTGAACTGTCACTACTGTTTGCCAAGTGGGGGTTTTCTTGGCTCTGCTGGGACAGTCTGCCTCTCTGAGTGCTGGCTCCTTTCTCAAGAGATCAGTAAACACTTCAATGTGTGGTATGTCCAGTTTTCTTTGTCACTGGGGCTATCAAGCAGCTCAGCTGTATGTCCTTGTGTTTCCTTCCCACTACATTGTCAGAAACCTCTGTAAGTTATGTCTCTCACTCACCTTCATGCCCTCAATGGAGCTCTGCACACAGGAGGAACTCACCAACTTCATGCTGAAGTAAACTGAATAAAGCCAAGCCAAGCGGTACAGCAAAAGGGTCTTCTTACCTCATAGAGTGTGATGACTCCATTAGTCTCATTGGGAGGTTTCCACTGGATGTAGATCTTCTCCTCAAAGGGCCCTCCTTGAATGGATTCTAGGGGAACAGCTCCTGGAACTACAGAAGGGAAAAGTTAGGAACCTGATGTCACCTTCCATCCCATTTCCCCAGCCCTGTTGACCTAGAAGAGCAGTTGGCCAAGCTTTCGTATAAAGAGTCAGATAATGAATACTTTAGGCTCTGTGGGCCATACAGTACCTGTTGCAATTGCTCAGCTTTGTGCTTGTGGCAGAAAAACAGCCACAGACAATTCATAAACAAATGGATGTGGCTGCATTCTAATAAAACTTTATTTTAAAAAAAAAAAGGCACTGGCTGGTGTTGACCCCTGGGCCATAGTTTGCAAACTCCTCTCCTGGATAGTCAATGGCTTTTTATCTTGCAGACTGAGCAAGGCTGATCTGGAATTAAACTGACCAGCACAGGGAGGACATCAGTAGATGACGGCACCCCCAGCGGTTGGGATTCTAGAATCAGACTCTTGCCTTAGGATTGGTAACAGAGGAATGCAAAAGTGAGCTTCACTGCCATTTTTTCTGACCCTGTCAAGCTGTCTCCAATATTCCTTAGTTTCCTAATTCCTGAATCCAACAGGATCTATGTGTCTTGAAACTTCAATCCAGTTACAAGAAGTCTGTCTCATTCCAAGAAGGCAGCTAGTTTGTCTCACTGCTGAGTCTCTAATGCCTGGCACACGGTAGATGCTTAATAACCATTTGCTGCTTGGTCGAGTAGGTGAATAAATGACCCATGCCAGCATTTTGCCCTAATGAGCAAAACCTCTCCTAGGCTGCTTTTGTAACCAGGTCAGTTTTCTTGGGCAACGTCCTCCTGCTGGATTCCAGCATCATTATGACAGTCTGGAAGATGCTGAACCATAAAATAAATGATTTTCCAAACTTCCAGCTATAACCCCCTAGGGAATCATGAATTCATGTAAACCATTACTGGATCTATTTGTATTTTGGCATTATAAAAGCAGGTACTTTTACTAAGCACTTACTCTTTGATCAGAATTTTACATACATTATTTCATTTAAGCCACAAAACAGCTCTGCCCAGTATGTATTATCTCCTTTCTGCTGATAAGGGAACTGAGGCTAAGAGAATTAAATAACTTGCTCAAGGTCATCCAGCTCTTAAGTTGTAAAGAGGGAATGGAACACCTGTCTGTGAGCTTCAAAGCATATACTCTTAATCACCACGCTATGCCTCTCAATATAGTCTTGGCCATATGTTGCAATCAGTTCCCTATTGTTAAAATATATTTAGTTTTTCTCATTATGGACATGATACACAGAATTTGTTGAACATTAAGAATATACAGAAAGGGTAAAAAAAGAAAAGAACAAAATCACTCATAATCCCCATAACTGGAGATATTTTTCCAGTATTTTTATGCCTATGCATATACATATTTTTAAAAATTAAACACATATTGTGTTGTGACCTTCTTTTATCACTGAACGAAACACAGATTTTTAAAAATCCTTAAATGTTCTTTGGGGCCATGCATTTTAATGCCCCATTATAGTCACCATTATTACTGGGCATTAAAATTGGCTTGAATTTTTTATGATTATAAGTAACACTGCAATGAGAATTTTTATAAATAAGTATTTTCATGAAACTCTGCTGATCTCCCAAAGATAAATTCTTGGAAATTAATTTATCGAGCCCAAGTAGATGAACTATTTTATTTTTAAGGCTTTTGACACGTACTGTCAGACTGCCTTCCACAGTTTGTACCATTCTGTGTTCCCCAAAAGAAGAACATGACTATTCCCAATCCTTGCCAACACTGCCTATTTAAAAAATTAAGTGTATGTGTGTGTATCCTTTTTAGAAAACTGGAGAGTGCAGATTTTTTTTTTCAGTTTAATTGGCCATTTGCGTTGATTCTTTTATGAACACGCTCTTTATACCCTGTTCTCATTTTCCTCTATGGCTCTTCATTTTTGTCCATCGTTGTCTTATGAGTTTGTAATTATAATCTGTTTTTAAAGACATACACTTTTCTCTTCGCATAGGTTACAAATATTTTTATCAGTTTTTCACTTGCTTCTTGAATCTTTTAGGTATCTATAAGCTTCTAAGTTGTCAGATCTCTAATTGCTTTCCCTTATCTATTCATCCTTGCCACAAATATCAGGACTTTGAGGTAAGCGCACAAAGTATCAGGAGAATTATAACAAGCAGAGAAAATCTAGTCTGGCAACTCAGGATACTAAGTGGAAGATAAAAGTCTATGGATTAGTAAAAGTTCCTAGGGCAAAAGTGCAGAGGGTAGGTGTTGGAATGTGGTGGGTTGCTTTGTGAGGACAACAGTGGAAGAAGCAAGGCCATCCTGGGGAGAAAGGATGGTAATTCATCAACGTGGTGATGGTGGTATAGAAGAGAAGCAGACGGTGTAGGAGATTTGCAACTGTTAAGTGAATGTGATTTGTTGATGATGGATAAGGGTGAAACAGGGAAGCGATGTTCAAGGAAGACCCCAGCTCATCTGTTTTAGATACCTGGAGTGGGTAAGAGTGCTTTTCACAGACGGTATCCTTACAGGAGGGTTAGTTTTGGAAAGGAAGCTGGTGGGTTTTGTGATGCTCCGTTTGAGGTGTGTGTAGAACACCCAAATGGCAACACTGAATAGCAGTTAGATAGATAAGCAGTTGGGTGACAGCTTAGAGGGGAACCAAAAAAGCAGGTCCAGGAATAAGCCAAGAGGAACTACATCTTTTTTTTTTTAAAAAATTTATTTATTTTTTTTTCAGAGAGAGACACAGCGAGAGGGGGCACACGCAGGGGGGAGGGAGAGGGAGAAGCAGACTTCCCGTGGAGCAGGGAGCCCGATGCGGGGCTCGATTCCAGGACCCTGGGATCATGACCTGAGCCAAAGGCAGACGCTTAACGACTGAGCCACCCAGGCGCCCCGAGGAACTACATCTTAACGATCAAAAGGAAACAAAGAAACTGGGAAACTAAGAAACCATGTTCAGAGAGGAACCTCTGGACCAGGAATGGGGGCTGTCATGGAAGCAGTCAAAGAGGGATCTAGAAGGGACTGGTTTGCAGTGACGGATGTGGCTGGATAGTCATGGAAACTGTGAGCTTCAATTTGCCCACTGAATGTACTGTCTTCAAGGTTACCTGTGACCTACCTGAGAGTAACTGAGGGGGAAAGCTGGCCTCTCAGCTCTCCTGCTGTGGACGGAGAAGAGAGCCAAAGGTAAGGGACTGTGCCCACTCAAGTCAGCTATTTGGGCCGTGAGGGGCAGGAATGCAGGAAGAGCAGGGATGGACTATGGACCACAGCAGCGCCCCACCCCCCCCAAGGCAGGAGATGTTATGGGAGAATCACAGGCGACCAGGAAAAATCCAAAACTGAAGTAAGAGGTAGAAGAGCAAAAAGGACAGGAAATGACTGGAGTGGTCCTGTCCTAAAAAGGCAGGAATCTCGGTGGGTGGAGAGAAAGCACCTTCCCCCTTGTGAGAGAAGACAAGAAAATGTGCAGCTGCTTTGGAGAGGAGAGTTGAGGTGTCCTTGGGGCTCCACCTTCTTGAGAAGCGAGGGTGAAACCACCTACTAAGAGTCAGGAATTTAGAGGAGCTTTAAGAGGGGCAAAGTGAGCTGAATGGAGAAATGCAGATGCCGGTTTTCACAAGGGTCTATCCAGGGGAGGCTGTGAGTGTGAATATCAAGCTGTTAGCACTCAGGCAACGTGTTCTCCTCCTGATTCCAGTTTGGAGCAAATTCTCTTTCTCACCCCAGATCGGAAGAATAGTCATCTGTATGTTCTCCGACTTGATTTATCCCCACTTTCCTTTTAAACCTAACTCCTGAATCCATCTGGAATGTATTTCATACATTGCACAAAGTAGAAATCTAACTACAGTTCTTTACAGTTTTCTTAGGACAATTAATTGACCGGTCAGAACTTTCCCCAGTGATTTAAAATGCCATTTTCCTAGCATGTTTGATTATGCTGACATATGCTGACAGGTATTGTGTGGTTCCCTGTTCTCTTTCACTGAGCCCCAGCCTCTGATCTGACAGTTATCTCTCTGCTTACTCATATAACACGTTTGAAGAGTTGACAGAAAAAGTTCCTTTCTTTTATTATTCTTCTTTTGCAAAGTTTTCTGGGCTCTCACTCCCCATTTGTTTGTCCAGAAGAGCTTTGGAAAAATTTTACAAAACTTCAAAAATGTTCCACCAGAACATTGTATTCTTCACTTCTCTGAGGGACAAATGATGCCTTTTTATAATAGGTCCTCCCACCAGTAATGCTGTATAAATCTTCACTTATTGATGTTCTTATTGTATGTCCCTCCCTTAAAAATGTTATTAAAATTTCTTACAAATAGCATTCCTAGGACTTTATTGCTTTTGTTCATATGACTCTTGACTCTATTTAAAAGCTTTTCTTGTGAAATCTATCATAAGCCAAAGTACAAGTAATAAATGTATAGTTTATAAAATAATTATGAAGTGAACACACATGTACCCACTATCCCCTCTAAGAAATAAAACATCACTGTTTCACTAAAGCACCCTGTGTGTCCCATACTGCTGACTTCTCTCTCCACCTTCCAAAAACAAAAAACAAAAAACAAAAAACACTCAATCTTGTAACTAACCTGAATTTTATGTTAATCATTCTCTTTATTTTTATTTGGAGTTATAAATATATACATGTATCCCAAGACATCATTTCGTTTCTTCTGGTTTTCTTTATATATACATGAAACTGAATATTTGTATTATATGATTTGCATTTGTCACTCAACATTGTTTGAGATTCATCCATGTTGATGCATGTAATTTTATTTCATTCATTTTATGAATATACTCTTATTTTGTCATTTAGGAGATGGTGAGATGTACTATAGATGGATGATAGGGCTACATCTCAGAGGAGCTATTTTAGAACACAGCTCCTATGAATATTTTTGGACATTCAGTTCAATATTTATAAGATTTCACTCAGGTGTACCTGGGAATAGGCTAGGTAGACTAAGGGTCATAAACGTCTTCAGCTTTACTGAGTAAAGTCAAATTG